ACCTTCCTCCCACCTTCCCCCAGTTTTTCCCTTAGTCTACTTTCAATCAAAATAAAAATGAAACTTATGCTTCACTCTCACACACCCCTTCCATTCAGTTTGATTAAGTCCTGAAAGAAAGCAAAATCATAGGGACAATCTCATGCATACATCAGTCAAACTAGAGGGAGATAAACAAACATGGGTATAGTGGAGTCATATAGATAGAAAAAAGTATACCTGTCAATTCCCTGCCTCCAGAACCTCGCCTAGGTTCCGGCAGAGCTCCCGCAATCGGTAGGTGGACTCCCCACAGAGTCTTGCTGCGGTCCTACGGGTTGCAATCCCGCATGCCGCCTTCCTCTCAGAACAGGACTAGACTTGGAGTAAGAAGGGCAGAAGTAAGGGGTTTCAAACGCTCATATACAAGAGAGGGACTGACTCAACTCCCAGAAGAGGGCCTTGATGCCTTCAATCGCCTTAGGGCCCCGCAACGGCGGCGAATGTGCACGACAGTCTGGTACAACTGGAATCAAATCACCCGCTGTCGATCCGTCGACGGCCCTTCGAATCGCAGTGGTACTCAATATTTTGTTGCCCGGGGTGTATTGGTCGTAACTCAATATGTAAAAAAAATGCGAGTCAAGCGCACAGCCTTCCTTCGCGCTAAAGCCAACACAGCAACCTTCCTCCTCGAGCCTTGTTGTTCTGCCTTACAAGATGGCAGCGTACAGGCCTATGCCTCTCATGGTTCATCCGCTGCATCCCTTACGAGCGGTATGGGCAACGTAACAGTCAACAGATAGATATTCGGTCTTACAACTCCCCTCCTCCTCGCTGCTCAGACTGATAGGACGACACGGCACTAATTTGTAGGTAAGTCCCTACTATGCAGCTTACCCTCTATGCAGAGGTACCTCAAAGTACACCGCCCACCAGTGAGCCGGTTCCTTCCTATTTTTCCACCTTTGTTTACTCTCCATCTGCTACTTCGGCACTCATGAGCGAAGTCACCTTGCGTCGTACCCTGCACCGATTGCAGACAACAGGAGCGGCCCAATAGGAGGGTGGTCATGATGGCAACACGGCAAGCCCAGACTCATGCGAATCGGGAATGATTCTTCCGTTCTTTCGGTGGGGAGATATGCTGCCCCGTTCCGCCTGAGGCCGACCCGGCCCGACTAGCCTGACCCTCGGCTTCCTCCCCTCATCACCAGTCCTCCAAGGTAAGCACCCTACCATGACCTCACTTACTCTCTCTCTCTCTCCCTTTACTACAGCTCCCTCTCTCTCTCTGGGTGTGTGCGTACTGCAGCCGCTGCACCTGCAGCTCCTGATCCGACCAGCCGCACCAGGCCCAAACTTAGTGAATCTTCCGCTAACTCATGGACGGAAACACTGCGCTTTCAGTCATGCACACAGAGAGATAGAGGGAGGCTACTTCCATCGATAGGATTAGCAATGCCTCCGGCCGATAGGTAAGTCTCCAGCACGTACTGGCCTCGTGCTGCTTCCATCAATAGGTGAGCGCAAAAAACGAATGAATCTTATGTAAGAAGCCGGCCAGGTGCATACCCCTTTTCCCTGCCTTTCCTTCCCGCTTTCATGTCTCTCTTCAACTTCGAATCTAACATCCTAACGCCAATTCTAACATCACTATCCGACTCGCTCGGCCCGAAAACCTCTACAACACACTTCCTCTCACCAGATTTCGTTAAGAATCGGGTGAGTTTCGTGTTTTCCCGCTTCCCTCCATATCTGTTTTCACCATCGCTTCCTCCACGCACCTCGTTTTTCTATTAGCTCTTATCCTACTAACCCAATGCTAAAACTAACTTCATCATTCAAATCGGAGATACCGAAAACCCCCGTTACAGACTTTATCCCGCCCGATTCCATCCATTAACGAGTGAGAAAAACCCGTTTCCTCCCTTTCGTTTTCTCTTTCCTCCATAGCTTTGCGCGATGCCTTTCTCACTAACCTCCTATTCTACTAATCCATTGCCAAAACTAACCTTACCAGTAGATTCGCCCGGCCTCAAAACGCTAATCCCTCACCTTCTCCCGCCCGTTTTCATCTCCTAACGGATGAAGTCGATCGTTTTTTATATTTTCCTCCTCTCCCTCGTTAGTGTCTTCGCGTGTTCCCTCCCTTCTCTATCTCTTTTTCTACTTACTCTTCGTCCTTTCTAACTTGACTAACAGTTTCGCCCTAGCCCAGAACCTCGAGTTAGCCCCTTCCCCCACTCGATTCTATCAAGAATTGAGTGATGTCTCGATCCTTTCCTCCCGTCGTTCCTCCTCCTTCCGTAGCTTCGTCTTCGGCTTGTTTGCATCCAGCGCGATTTTGCGGTCAGGTTCATTTCCCCTTATTTCCCTTCTTGCTGGCCACCTTTCCCTGCTCCTACAAACTGTGTTCGGTTCCCTGGAACAGCGTCGCTCACTGCTCGTCGCTCTCCTCCGCCCTGCTCCTTGGTACTCTCCTTCACGTCCACTGCGCTACTCTCCCCTGCGAACTCGATCGGCCCCGACAATGAAATGCACTGAACTGAGCGACCTGTGATCAGCCATCAGGGCAGCTTCAACGCCCCGGCCAGTAGATGACCGCGGCACCTGCTACGAAGCCCACAGCACACGGCCCTCCGGTCGGTGCCAACCCCAGCCACTACCGTCGAGACCCGCTAAAGAGTGTGTAATAACTCCCCTGCCACATCTATCAGCCCCGACCACCGACGGTACTACAGCGCAGTGAGTAGGAGGGTGCGGGCCCGCTGCTAAGCGTACAGTGTGGGCCTAGGTAAGGTGAGTCCCAATGCATATCCTGGTGGTAGTAGCGAATATTCAAATGAGAACTTGGCAGGCCGTCGCGGCCTGCTGCTAGGGCAGCTTGGGGTCGCGCAGCCAGCATTGCGGCAGCCTTTTACTAGCGCCCCCTGGCCCCGCCCAGGCATAGTTCACCACCTTGCGGGCCCCGACCGGCACGCTCCCACTCGAACCTCTCTCCGCAGATTGTGGCTGGCGGACGGTGCCCCCGCGGCATCCCACACCACCCTATGCTACGAATCCCCTGCAGCGGCGGACAAGCGCGGCCAAGGCCGCGGCTGCGGACGAGGCTGCGAGCCCGCGGACGCGTCCGCACGGACGCGCGGCTTTGGCGCCACGTGGCGGCCAGAGGGGAGGGGGTTTCGGAATTCGGGAAGCGCCATTCGGCGGCGCATCCCCGGCCCCACCCCCCCACACAAAAAAAAATGGAAAAACAACATCTTTTGGTTGGGGGGGTTGGGCTGCCGACGAAAAGAAATTAAGAAAAAGAAAAAAAAACACGTTTTTTTTTTTTTTTTTT